AAAGCTTAAGAGATCAACACATTGCACTATGCTCCCATCTTTGATCCTTTATAAAAAAATAAATAAATAAATAAATAATGAGTGAAAAGAATAAGCGCACCTAGAACAATAAAGCTTTAATAAAAGGTCCACTTTTTGTCTTGATGATCGGTACTAGATTTGTGTGCTAGTTTGAGGGTAATGATGTGATTAATTCTTTAGTTAACTTAGATAGCAACACATTTGATGCCGGTCCACTTAAAAAGGATTCTAGAGTTATTTTGATTTGCATGATCATTTTCTTGATGTGTAGAGGATCATACTTGCTTGCTTGATGTTGAAATTTTGGGAGATTGCTTAGAAAGGATTGAAAAATTGCATACTTGAGGTAGTTTTCTCCTAATTCTTGTTTGCAATATTGGTGCCTCTTTTGAAAAAATGAGCTTAATGTTTGTGGGTACCATTTCTGGAAGCCCTCACGAGACTTCACTCGTCCACTAGGGGTAACCTAGGGGTTTAAAAGGCTTGTTGCATATGCTAAATGCAATCGTGTTCCCTACGAAAATGGCGTTATCCATTTATTGTTTTCTAGTTTATAGTTGTACAATTGTTCATTTCATTCCTTTAATTTTTAGTTCATTGCTAGAGACTAGCAATATTTAAGTTTGGGGGTGTGATGAGCCCTGAAAAGTGCGTATTTAAACCCCTTAAGCTTAGGCATTCTAGTACCTTTATCTATCTTACTTTGCCGTTTTAGATTGATTTTGTATTATTTCCTTTTTCAGGCATTTATCCCAAAAATAAGTTAACTCAGCCAAATAAGAGCTTAATTGAAGCAATTCTGGGATTAATTAAAAAAAGGAGCAAAGTGGAGAAAGAAGGAAGCAAATGAAGCCAAAGGTGGCAAGCAGCAAAGTTCGATCAATCCAAGTTCAAGGTTCGATCGATCGAACAATGATTGATCTCAGCACTTCAAGATAGATCCAAGCCTTGACCCAAAAGCATAAAGTTCCAAAAGTTCGATCGATCCAACACCATCCTTCAATCGATCGAACACTTTTGTCCTTATTCAAATGATTGATCCTATCCATAGCTATACCACCCACTAACCACTTTTGTCCTTTTCCCATAAATATCTCCCATAAATATCTCGGATTTATCTTTTGTCCAAAAAGCTTAACCAGTTGGATTGATCCAGCTTAAGTTCGATCGATCTCATTTACCTTCGATTGATCCAAGTTCAAGGTTCGATCGATCGAACTTCCTCTAGTGCGAAAAAGTTAAAATTCCATCTCATTGAAAGTTGTCCTTTACCCAATCATTAGGGAATTCGATCGAACCTCCTCCAGTGCGAAAAAGTTAAAATTCCATCTCATTGAAAGTTGTCCTTTACCCAATCATTAGGGAATATTGTGTGCAAGACCCCATCTCATTTTGGGTGTCATTTTGACCTATCTATATAAGGATAAGGATTGCTTTTTCAAGGGGGAGCCAATTTAATTTTGCATATCATTTTTTAGAGAGGAAGCTTGGAGGAGGAGGAGGCTAGAGACACCATTGGAGACTCTTCATCAACAAAGAACAGATTTCAACCATGGAATTAGCCCTTAAGGGTTGGAGCATCATCACCATGAGTGGCTAGACATCCTCTTGGGGCTAGAGTTAGCCCTAAGTATGCTTTCTATATCTTAATCTTGTGTATTATTGAAGGATTAGTGTTGTAAATAATGTTTTGACACTTTTGTACATATAGATCTTGTTTATTCAATGATTTTTGTGATTTAGTGCTTCCAATAAATCATTTCATTCTATCTATATGTCTATGTATGCTAGAATAGATGTTCATGTGTTTACCTCTATTTCTTGTGTAATTGATGCATGTCTATGTGTATTAATGCTATGAATTTAGGGATTGTCAAAACATTGTGCTTAAAAGAATGCTCTTGTGATTTTCTAGATGGTCCATGCCCACTTCTTGATGGATTATGCCTCTCCCTTAGCTTAGTTAGTTTAATTTCATGCCACTAGTTTAGTTGTAGTGTAGTGATAGCATAATTGTTAGATGAGAGGACAATCCATGCTAGCTGTTTAATGTTCCATACGTTTGAATGCAAGTAGCATATGTCTCTAACCTTGTGGTGTGCCTGGTTTGTGAGCTTAATGAAAGGATTAATGACTTGCTAGATATGTTGTGCTTCTCACATACTATTTAGACAATATATACTTAATTGCTAGATATATTGTGTTTTTCACATGTTAATTAGACAATGTATGCTTAAATTGGTCACCCTTGCTAATTGAATCAACCAAGCACACACACACAAATATTGCAACACTCTTTACCCTCATTAGTCGCTAGTTGGAAGTGTAGAAAAGCATTGCTTAGTGGTGACCTCTAAACCCTAAGATCTCTCTCTCTCTTGCTTACTCTTGTTACATTCAATCACTTAATTTAATTTAGTTGCTCTTTAGTTTACTTAACCAACCAACCATTTGTTGATCACTCGACCTACTGACCCTAGTTGCATTTTCACATTTAAGTACGACTCTTATCCCTTGGGACGACCCCTTCTCACTCATACTACATAGTATAGGTGTTAAGCGGTTTATAAATTTAACTATGATGCCCACTTGACACTAATTTCCAAACTCAAGGTGTTGTGCATTATTTTGTGCACACCTAGGGTCGAGCCACCAAGCTAAACTTCTCCTTGGGCCTTGGATAAGCCCCAAGTTTGTAATGTAAACCTTTATCTCTTTCATACTTTTTGGGGAATAGTATCTTGTGATTAGTATTTTAGCCTTGTGAATTTAATAAATCTTAGGTTCTCCTTTGATTTCTATGGTTAAATACTTCTATCTAATTCTCTATGTAATTACATGTTGTCTTATGTGTGATTATTGGGGAATTGATCTCTACACTATTTTCTTTATGTTTATTGCATGTCTATGTGTGATGAATTAAGGATTTAGTGATGGCTATACATTGTTTTCATTGAATGGGTTTGTCAATTAATTTGATGGATTATGCTTATACTTGATGGGTTATTCTATAATTTAATTCATGCTTATAGTTAGGTAGACAATCTATACTTGATTTAATATTCCATCACTTATTCTTGCAAATTCAATGATTCTCTAGATTGATGTGTGCTATAATTGTTACTAGTTTGATGGGTCATGCTTTGGATTGATGGGTTGTTCTACACTTAGTTTAATTGTTGGTTAAGTAGACAATTTATACTTGAATTTGATGGTCCATGGTTAATATTGCAATTAGTAGTCACATTTTGGTCACAATAAGGTTTTCTCCAAACTAGTTGGAAGTGTGTGGTTTGGTGAACGAGCTTGGTGGCGGTTCCAATGCACCCTAAAATCTCACTTCTTATCTCTTAAATCCCTAGCTCAATTTTAGTTTTATTTTAATTACATTTTCATTAATCGAAATAGTTTAATCACCAGCCCAAATCTCTTTGCAATCATTTAAATCACTAAAGTCGAAGCTAAAATTCTAACACGTATAATTTCTTGAGATGATCCCTTCTCACTCATACTACATAGTATAGGTGTTACGCGGTTTATAAATTTAAAGTATGATGCCCACTTGACACTAATTTCCAAACTCAAAATGTTGTGCATTATTTTGTGCACAAGCTAAAGTCGCATCACTCACTCACAAACCTCACCACTGTGCTTAGAAGGTCCAAAAACGTAGAAAAGCACTGTAATATTGCCTACCTTCCCGCCCGGCCTCACCTTTGACCAATTCTCTACGGTATGGACCAACCAATTAATTCTAAGGTTTGACTTTGGCCATGTTTTGGTATGGGGCCACTTTGACCTAATTTCCTCTCCCTAGGGCAAAATAAGTAAAATTGCATTATGCAGGGATTTCCAACAATTGCAAAAGGATAAGAATGCCACATCAACAGTATGAGGTCATCATGAAGTAAAAAATCCCAAGAAATGGCCTCAAAATTCGAAAATGGAACTAAATTGAAATTTTCAAAAATTTGGGGGCAAAAGAGGGATTAACCAAGGAGAGAAAAAATGAAAAAGGTGGGGAAAGGACACCAACATGCATTGCGCATGCATGAGAAGAAGATGGAATTGGTTCACAAGTGTTGCAGTCTCTAAGTGGGAGATTATTGTGGTTTGTGGAGTCTGATCACATGAAGAATTGGGGTGGTGAAACTTTTTGATTTATTGGCTTTGGTTTAGCTACCAGCCTATTGCAACCAGTTACGTTTTGTGGCAGCCACTTGCTTGCGATGTTGCAAGTTTGTTATAGTTACTGCAAAAATGCAACCAGTTACGTTTGGGCAGTGAGTTCCAAACATTGGAGTATATCAAGCGCAACCAGTAGCGTTTTAGTGCAACTGGGTGCACTCCCCCTGGGAAGTTGCACAAGCCTAATCAAAATTTAGTGTGTGGAGTGAATTGTGAGGATTGTGAGAGATTCGCGTGATTAATTTGTGCAATATAAGAGAGAGCAATTGAGAGAGATTGAAAGGAAATTTTCCATTGTAATTCTTCATAGTAGAATTTGTTCGAAACGCTCCATGGATATAGCACTAAGATTTGGGTGAACCATGTATATCTTATGTTTTTGTATATGATTGTTTTTTTTATTCTTCGTAATTGCTTGTGTTTATTCCTCAAACATCGTTGTTTTCTAGATTTCCACCACAACAACTGGTATTAGAGCATCAGGTTATTTTGTGCTTTTCCGCTAACAAGATTAAACTTAAAACAAAACAACTCTGACACTAATGATTGTTAATGGACTAGATCCATGTGTGATTTTAGTCAAACCTCTGGGGAGGTTGATCCCTGTTTTGACCTAATTTTAAACAGCTTTACTAGTAGTATATGCGACTAACATAACTGCCAAAACACACAAACACACACATACATACATATATATATATTTGATAATCGGGGTGTCCGAGACTTTACCAAAACACTTCATTCAAACTAGAATACTTCTACCATAAGACCAGCAGCAATAAAGCATGAAGCATATTATGACAAAAAGTACCATAAAAATCAAGGCAATTTCTCAGATGATTTTTTTTCCCCTATTCTTACACTATCAATTAAATTTGGTATTAATCACAAAAGGAGAAAATTGAATAAATTGACATTGCCTGTTCCATGGTCTAGGATACAACTTATACAAGTACCCATTGACCTGTACAAAAGGGAGATAGAAAGCATTGCTAGAAGCTTGATTTTCTGCTGAAATATGTTTTAGGACAGAATGGTACTAGTAGAATATCAGCCACACAAGATGGGACACCGGCACATTTTCTCTTTTGGCTTCAATGTATCCAATTCTGCCCCCAATTCTGCCCAAACAGTATGAACCTGGATGGATGACAACTTTGTTCACGCCATTTCAGCTCTTCCAGTGAAATTTCTCACTGAAGCAGCATAATTGTGGAGTAATATAATTCGAGCTCCTAAATCCTTACAGGCAACCCATAATTGTGGAATGTCCTGATCTTTCCATCCCAACCTGCTGTCACAATTACAAGACCCCATGTTGCGGATAGAACTTCTGTTTTGTTATGGGGTTGCTGATCATGTTCTGCTACCGGTAGATCACAGACCGGAAGTTTCTCCTCTGGCCATGTCGTGGAACCCCTAGCCGAGCCATCCATGGAGAAGCATTTAGCTAGGGGAAAACATTCATAGTCACTAATCCGTGAAGAGGCGTCCTGATGTTCCTTTGTCTGTAAACAACACTGGAGACTGCTATCTAAACCCTTCTGTTCTGTTACTATGCCTGACCAAGGAATTGCCAATGACACACCATCAGAGAAGAAATGCTCACAGGAGCGCACGGATTTTGGTTGTTTGAATGATGGGATGCACAGGTCATCATAGTTCCAGATATAAACACGAGAATCTTCACCAACCGAAGTTATGTGTCTACCAGTCGAAGCAAATGAAGCTGACATCTGACTTCCTGACTTCGGAAGACCTGCAATCATTGATGCGAACCATATTTTTAGTATGACAGCACCATAACAACTTAAGCCTATAAACACAGTTGTACAGGCTTTATACACATAAATCTTATCTCTCTATCAGCTTACAATTCATCAGAGTTAAAACACATTGTATGTGTAGAGTTTTTTTTATACAAGTAGTATGTGTAAGTTTTTTTTCGAAATGTAATTAGTATGTGTAAGTTGCATATGATTAAAATGGTAAAACAGTAAATTATGGATTAGATAACCAAGGAAAAGAAATCTTACCTAAAAAGTGAATACTAAAAATTTGAACAAGCAGAATTAACTTCTTGATTTATATCAGGTCGTTTTATAATTCTGAGTCTACCACATGCATGTAAAACAGTGTTGAGATTGGGTGGTACAAAATTTGGAGGTCCTCTACAAATTTTTGTACAAGTAAGGATCCACTTCTACAGTTATCAAAATAAAATGTCAACGCTTTCTGAATTAAAAATAAATAAATAAATAAATTCCTAATACAATACAGTTTGTCAAATTTAAGGATAAAATGCAATTGGAGAATGCTATTTTTCATCAGAAATGGGAAGTGTATGATGGCATGAATTGTGGTTACTGAGACCATTTAACTAGCATCATAATAAGCTGTTTAGTGGGAGATACTGAGGAAGTTCCAAAGATAATATGGTAACTTTGTGTTAGTTATGAGGAAAACAGTGATCCATGAACCAATTAGTAGTCGAACTAGAATTGCCAGGAAGGGGAGAGTGTCCGAATCCGTATACGCGGTGTGAAAGGATCGCTTGAACAATTTAAATGGTGAAACCCAAAATAGCCTTTCAGTCTGACGAGCAAAGGACTGAAATAGTAGCAAGCATTAAAAAAACAATGGAGAAATTCAATCATATTCTTTATCTTCTAGAAGACAAACAAAAGATTGCATTTGGAGCATCAAAGATTCAAATTGGCATAAAATGTAGTCCAAGGAAGAGGAAGTCCTAATGGCAAAGTTATACGGGAAAAAGTTTACTCTTTCAGGTATAAAACAGTTATTTATCCACAGTAGAGACACTTTAAACATTGCAAAGTGAATGATCACTCAGAACAAAAAAAATAAAAAAAAATAAATCCTGATCATGTATATGACTCAAATCATTATGAATTTTAATTACGAATTAAGAATTAGAACATTCGATGAGAACAAAATGAAGTTGTGACAGAATGCAAATAAAACTCTTTAAGTATATTGGATAACTAGGTCAGACAGAAACATCAATTCCCACAAAGAATTGTTCAAATACCACATTTGAATCATTCTTTTACCTTTGTATTTCTGGACAACATCAGTCCCATCAAGTATACGGATTTTGGAATCTTCTGACGTTATGATGATCCTTTGAAAGTGTTCTGGTGAAAACTGAAAGTACAGGATGACACTACATGTCAATACATGATTGAAATTAAAGTAACCATAATATAGAAAGAAGAAAGATTCAGGAGAGTAAAACCTGAATGCCAGTAATTTTGTTGCCGGAGGATTTTTTTGCACCTTGGATATTTATCTGTCCATTTAACTGAAGATTGCTGCCTAGAATGACACAAAATCAATTTCAGACACTCAAGGAAAAGTCAAATTGATATGACATAAACTGATATGACTCTCTAACACATGGTGGTAAGTATCTACCTAATGATTCATAGAAGCGGCAGGTGCCTGAAACGGAACCGACTACAAATCCCTGCTTTCAACAAATGATATGATAAAATCATCAGTTATCACCATCGAGTGAAAATAGCAAAAACACAACAAATTCATGGGAAGATCATATTCTGAATCATACTTTCCCATTTGGTTGGTAACTTATAGCAGTTACTACATCTTGGACGTCAGCCCAATCAACAACTCGCCTCTTGGACAGTCCCCAAATTCGAACTTTTCCATCTATGGAACCACTGATGAAGTAATTCTCATCAGCAGGATTGAACTGAATGCATGTCACTGATCCCAACCAGAAATGAATAATAAATTAAAATTCTGAATGTTCAACACACAATGTTTCAAAGGGAACCTACCATTAAGAAATTAATCCAACTTTAAGGGGGAAAAAAAAAACACGAACATGAAATCTTGAAATCTTGATATTTACCATAGCTATTGTGATGGAAAACACTAAGACAATCGTTGCAGCCCACTTGCCATAGGCGAACGGTTTTATCCTTGGAAGAAGAAAGAAGACACTGCAACCAGTAATCCAGTTTAGCTTCATATAAACCACATAAAATTTGCATAATAACATAATTAAGTAATAGAAAATTGTTATCAGCTATAATGACTCACATGAGATTTGGACCAAGCTAAGTCGAAGACATCACCAGTATGGCCGTGGAACTCTTGCAATGGTGACTCTTCAATCCTAAAATCCTTATTAGGAATGACAACTGAGGCATGATCCGACTTTTTTCTTCCAGAAAAGGACTTGCCTTCTCTCATTTGGCTACCAGAATTGCCTTCAGCATATACATCTACCGACGAAACACGCCAAATGCGAACAATCCCATCATCACCACCACTCGCCAGATACTTGCCATCAGGACTAAACTTCATTGTCCAAATGAAGCCCTCGTGAGCATGTATTTCTTGTCCAATGTAGACTGCACTGAACTCGACATACCTCTTTTTATTCCGCTGCACCTTCATTCTATTTAATTTTGTTTCGGCATCTAGTTTTAATACCTCAGATACACCTTTACCTTGATTTCCCTTCCTCTTGTTTATGAAGTGTTTCCACCAACTTTTCATTTTCTTTTTATCCATATTAAACTTCTTAGTACTTTTAACATGAACCTGAGCTTCACTCGGTCCAAATTGTTCAATAGAAGAGGATACACAAGCAGTCTCACCCTCCTCCCTATGAGCTACACACAGTTTCTCGGACCGATCTTGCTCCAATTCATCAACCAAGCAGTTGGCTTCACCATTTAATTCCCTACTACTATTACAAATTAAATCTTCCACTATGCCATCAATGGACGAACCACAAGAACTAGAGATAGCTCCACTGCATTCTACAGTCCTTTCCATCCCTATCCTCTCTGATTCCTTGCCAAGGGCAATGTCTTGCAAAGGGTTGATTTCAAAAAAACCCATTCGACTTAAAAACCTTTCACGACGTTCCTCAACGCTAACCAGGTCATTCACCCAAATCTCATACCCTAAATTGCCACACCCCAAATCTTCTTTTGCACCAACTAACTCTTCGGATAACAAGCAATCCACAGTATCAAAGAAGATCTCTTCTCCCTCATCAAACCTCAGCATCTCTTGTACTAGTTACTATGACAAAATTCGACATCAAACCCCAACCTCCTATCACCCTTCCTCTAGCAAATCTCAACGTAACATTACAACTTTTAATACCCGCCAAAACCCGAAATCATGGACCATGTTTCACTCTCTAACTATGCAAAAAATAGTTGAATTGAATCCACGGTTTCTAATTCCAATTAAAAATAAATATCCATACAAACATGGTTTGACCCGGTACAAGGTATCACTTAACAACCTTAGAAAACATGAAATTGCAACCATTATTTCAAATATTTAATTCTACCAATTGAAACCCCCATAGTACACCCAGACATTGTAGATTAATCAAATTGAAGAAACAGAGACCAAAGCTTCAAAGTTCAAAGATTGTACCTCGAAATCAATGTGAAGCAACAGCACAATCCAAACAATATCACCGACCCTCCTGTGATTGTGGCTTGCAAAACCTTATAAGGTCAACCACACACACACACACACACACACAAATAAGGCCTAAATAACAGAATGGATGGTAGTGATAGGCCTCGAGATTTGTGGGTTGTGGGGAAATTGCAGAGCACGAGCAACAAGCTCGAGGAAGCCTATACCAAATACAATGCTATGTGTTGCTCTGCGAACCTTCTTGTTTGCTCAAAAGCCCACCTCACTTCTGCAAATTCGATACATACAAAACAAAAAAGCAAACACAAATTTCAGAATCTGGGAATTCAAATATATATACATCTCAATATGTAACACCAAGTGAGCAAATTTAAAGTTTTGGCCTAAATTTTAGACACTCACTTGAAAAAATCGATCTAATTGTGCAATTTTAACACTCGACGTTATTTTGAGCACTAAACTAAGAAAAATTAAATAAAATTAAGAAATTAACTAGAATTAGAATAATTTTTAGCATTTTCACACATAAATTAATCAAATTAAGCATATATTCAATAAATTATGAAATTACTAGTAGTGCTTGCATTTTCATAAAATACAATTTTTTTTGAAGACATTAACTACAAAAATTCAATAACTAATCCGAGTACTACTTATTTTAACAGAAAGAAAGAATTAATGACAATATACAATACCCATAAAGGAGTAGGAAAAAGAAACATACAGAGTGTGAGCTCGAAAAACAAAAGCTGCAAGTAGTGTGTAGTTACAGCACTAGGTAGCATAGCGCGCGCACAAACACACACACACACACAGATGAGGAGGCCTTAAAACCGACAGGTGTCAGAACCAGCACCTAGGACTTCACGTCCCTTGCTGTTTCCCCATCAACTAAAGCTGCTCGAAATCAATTTCCTCTATATATATGTATATGTGCATTGTTCTCTGGTTTTTCTTCTATTCTATTCCTACCATGATTTTAGGGTTCATGGAAGTGTATAATCCGAAACGAAAACATGATAATAATACTCATAAAGATGGCAAACCTATGGAGAGAGGGAAAAATTGAAACTTGGATTCTCCATTTTGGACTAGTACAGAGATTGAAGAAAGTAGACGTCTTAAAAGATAGATGCAACTGCATACATATATTATATTATATTATATTATATATATATATATATATATATATATATATACACGTGGGCACATCAATAAAAGAATGTTCTATCTCTATTTACACTTTCAATTATTTACATCTTTTATATACAACTAAAATTAAGCAGAAGATTATTATTATTATTATTATTATTATTATTATTATTATTATCAACCCACCTGCTACTCAATTTAAAATTTCAGAGAATTCATAATCTGCATTATTTAAATTCAAATTAACTTTAAATTTTTTACTATTCAAGCTGCTATGCCAATAACTAAAAGTCATGAATTTGCCCAAAAAAAAAATCCACACTACAATTTTGTAATTTATAAGTTAAGTTTTTCGGATAACAAATTTTTATTTTTATTTTTAAAGAACTGAAAAATAAATTAGTTTATATTTTAAAAAATTTATGTGTTTTATGATTCTATTTGTTGACAAATTCAACAGCGCACATTCATGGAAAAATGACATTTCATTGAATGCACCTAATGTTAGAAAGAGAAATTTGGGAACTGTATGGAGGGAGACAATAAGATGGATCACAAGCCCAATCGCTGGCCCAATAAGATGGATCACAAGCCCAATCGCTGGCCCATATTGTTGTTGGAATGAATGTGATGTGTTGGATAATGAAGGACCATTATGGTGTCCACATGCCTCTTTTTTTTTTTTTCTTTTTTTTTTTCATTTGACTTTTTATTTATTTATTAATTTTTTAAAGACAAGAAAAAATTTCAACCTAAAACGCTTTAATTTAAAAGAAGACTCAGAACAATTGCCATTGCAATTATCATTGTGTGTTTTTTATATTGTTCTTGTTTTTTAAAAGATAAGAATTGTTTTTTTTTTTATAGCGGACGTGGCCCAAGAAAATTTTGACAACCATTTCAAAATTAAATAATTAAAAATTAATATTCAAAAACTGGATCAACCCATTTTTAATGGGTTAACGGGTCAAATTAAAACCACACCCGAAATCCCACTTTTGAATCTCTCTCCACTCCCTAATATTGGTCTTCAATAAAATGTCACACATTCGTATAGCTGAAATCATTTCTCTCCCTTTGAATCTCTCTCCCAAGCTTTGGCCCATAATTGATTTGGTGAAACAAGGTTTGTTTCAAGCAACAATACCAAACACATACATCTAATATAAAGCAGACATCCTTACGCAAATATATATATATATATATATATATATATATATATGTAACATAAAGTACAATAAATTAAGAAGATAGTGGGCGGCGGCGGCGGATGGGGAGTAGCGATGATTAGACGAGAATAGGTTTGTACAAAGATGGATTTGATCCAATTATAATTATTTTTAATTTTTTTAGATACAGTATTTTATTATTATTCATTCACATTAACCATATGCAAGAAACTCCTTCTTATAAGATAAGTGGTAGAGTATTGTCCCTCGAAAAATAAAACCTTTACAATCGAAAAAATTTTACCATCCAAATCGTCACATATTTAAGAATTACATGCATTCTAAATTCACAAGACACGGTACATCATAAATGCAACATACATATAATATCAATGCATATTATTAATTCATGCAACACATCTACTTCAAAAATATAACATTCGTGCACTCTATTATTATACCGAGATGTTATACTAGTGTAGTACAACAGAGAGTACAACATCTTTATATTAACATCCTCACTTTAATAGTTTTGTATTTAATAGTATTGTATTCATGTTGTGTACTAATGTTACATCTTTGATATAATTGCAAAATCTGAGGCAGAACCACTTATGCACAAAAGAAATAAATAAAACAAAACTGAAATTTAAACCCAACTTGAATTTTGGACCAAGTTAAATAGTTATTTTCTAAGTATTGTTTTTGTGTTGATATTTTTGGGCTCAACTCAATTTAGGTTGACTTTGAATAGAAGTGTCACACAATTTGAAAATTATCTAGATATATTTTATATTATTGTGGAAGGGGTTTCAAGCATGAAGGGAGTGTGAAAAGTGAAAATATTAGTCGGCAAAGGAAATTTTAATTTTTTATTTATTTAGTTTTAATTATTTAATTTTATAGTGAACTATAACCCAAATTGTATAACTCAATTTGAAAGAAAATAAGAATGTGTCTTGTTTGTAATTTTAAAAATAATTTTTTTAAAATAAAAAAACTATTCAAAGAGTCTAGCTTGTTTCAATTTTCTGAAAACTCTATAAAAATAAATGTTTTTAGAGAACAATCTTTTATAATTTTTTAAAATTGTTTTTAAAAATTATTTTTTTTATTTGTACAATTTTTTTATTTTCAATTCCTAAAAAACATAAAATTGTTTTTAAAATTACAAACCAAACACATTCATATTTTCTTTCAAATTGAGTAATATGGTTTGGGTTATAGTTCAGTGTAAAAATATATAATTAAAATTAAATAAATAAAAAACTAATTTTAAAAAATTAAAGAGGCCAAAGTGTTAGAGGCACTTTAAGGCCCATATAAAAATATATAATTAAAATTAAATAAATAAATAAAGTAATTTTAAAAAATTAAAGAGGCCAAAGTCTTAGAGGCACTTTAAGGCCCATATAAAAATATATAATTAAAATTAAATAAATAAAAGACTAACTTTAAAAATTAAAGAGACCAAAGTCTTAGAGGCACTTTAAGGCCCATATAAAAATATATAATTAAATTAAATAAATAAAAAAACTAATTTTAAAAAATTAAAGAGGCCGAAGTCTTAGAGGCACTTAAAGGCCCAAAGTGATATTATGTATGGTATGCTTTTAACTTTCCAAAAAGGCTATCTTATAGCGAAAGCAAGAGATCGTGCACAAAACATAGCATGGCACACGAGCACCAGCTGGATATAGGGATCTATTTTTTATTTTTATATATTTTTATATTCTTTGATACCTGACTTGGTTGTCATATATATTTTAGTAACATAATTCAGTATTATTTAGATATTCATGCAATATTTTATTAAATACACTAATAGTATATACCAAATGTTGTTTTAATGTTCTGCAGCATCTAATAATACGCCAAAAAATTAAAAAATATATATATATTCAGACAAAAAGTAGAATAAAAGTGAGACATTATTTCATTAACGTATAAACTATATATTATCAAATCATGAAATGAAGTTCCCATTTTGCCTGCTATCCATATTTATAATGTTTCTCCTGTTTATAATTAAGGTTAAAATCATAAAATTTCACTCTACTTTTAAAATTGCACGTAAGACTCCCAGTAGAATAAAAAAAACATCTTGAACTAAGAAAACTTATTGTGAAAAAAAAAAAAAACACACTTAGAAAACTTATTAATTGACCCTCAAACCCACCTTACTATTTAATATTAAAATAAGATCTAATAATGTCAAATTTGATATTTTACAACTTATTTAACGAGTCGATTATGAGTTTGAGAGTAACTTAATAAGTTTTGGCTTTTAAATTTTATTGAGGGTTTAATGTACATTTTGAAAATAAATGGAGTTTTTATGAGTTTAACTCTTTTAAGTAATTATTAGTTAGGCTCACAAGTCATTAGGATTTCACATATCCTGGAGTAGAATGAATCCGTTTTATGCCCATGACAATTCTCTGTATTGTAGTAGACATTTTATCTTAATAGAATCTGTGGTTTAATACTTCTACATAAATATATATATATATATATATATATATATATATATGGTGAATAATATATATGTATTCATCAATTCATAAAATATAATACTATACGCTACTGTTTAATATATAATATATATTAAACATAATATATAATATATATGACACAATTCTTTCACGAGCACTCGAATATATGTCAAGAGTACTACGCTTAAACTTTCATTTTATTTGAAGGAAAGTAGTAACTTAAATCAATTAATGAATTTGACAATATATTTTGTCATGCAAATTGTTTCGCTTGGTACGTTTTCAGAAAGAATCAAGGAAATACTTATATACATATTTCCCCCACATATATATATATATAATATATATATATATATATATATATATATATATATATATATATAATGTATTGAAGAAGCAAATAGAAGGTAAAGTTTTTGACTGAGAATTTAAAAGACTAGTATGAACGTGGCAAAACAAACTTAAGAGACAGATTCTAGATAGTCAAATACGTACTCAAAAGTGTAAAGAGTTGAAATATACGTACCTCGAACACTATCTGAATCTTTGAAAACTCTAGCTACACCACACAGATCACACTCCGGGAGGGAAAGGGAGAAAGGTATGCTTGGCAACACTATATATACATATGTACGTTTATATACATATATATAGACTATATATATAATATATATAGTGTAACACTCTATGATCGATATGTATATATAATAACACAATAGCCACCGAAGCATTAGTTTGTCCAAATTATTATCATGAACAGCAAATCTCCGCTCGATCCTCTCTCGATTCACTCATTTAATTCCAAAAGTTGCACTTTGAATATTTTAGAACCTTGTGATAAAATTAAAAATAAAAACAATATTTTATAACCCGATTTGCATTCAACCCGCGAAATCAGTTTTTAAGGACATATGGTACTGATGCCCTCGTGTCCCCTCCCACTACAAAGTCCTAACCTTTTTTTTTAATTTATTTATTTATTATTATTATTTTTTTTTTTTGACAAATAACACAGCACTAACATATCCAGAACTTGGACCTCGACCTTCCATTTTATTTTTCCAATCATACATCATGTTTATCCCTATAAAAATCAGTATATTGAACACAAAAGCTTTCTAAATTATAAATTTGTTTAAGAAAATAATGTCTTTATGCTTAATAAACACAAAAATGTTGGATTCATAGCGTATTTTGATCATTTCTGCGTATTGGAGAAGAAAATCACTTGTGTGTGTGTGTGTGTGTGTGTGTGTTGGGGGGGGGGGGGGGGGGGGGAATATCACCCTCCAATTAGAATCTGACACATCGCCAAAG